CAGAAATACTTAAAATTCTTATAATTAACTATCAGCAAATGAATTTACAATTCAAATATAAAATTTCAATCTAATTAATTCTAAAAATTAAAAGTGCAATTGTTAAAGTATTGCCAGTAAGAAACTTTTCAACAAATTCTTTATTTTTTTAAAAATTTTCAACGCCCTTTCTTTTATGTTCATCCTTTTCAACGGCTTCAGTTTTATTTTTTAGAGGATCCATTTCAAGAATGTTTCAGTCATGCTCAGCCAGTACATTACTTGATTCGTCGGGAATTACTTCAAGATCTTTGAATATGTTTACCAATGACATCTGGGAATTGGTCTGTTGAACATACGAACTTGCAAGTGCAAAATCACCAGCTATTGGAGCCACTTTACAATGACTTTCAGAATTATCATAGTCATTGGGGGCTTCATCATTATCGTAGTTACCGGGGCTTCGTTAACATGGTTACTGGGGTTTTGTACAAGCAAAAATCAAATTTAACAATTTAACAAATAAATACAAAATTTACCTTCCGAAACTTGTTTTAATGCATTAAAAAAACCGCTTAGACCTTCATGCTGCATTACCGATTTTGGACGTTTATATGCAGCAAGACCTTTTTAAGACTTATGTCTCGTAATTGACATTATGACCGAATTGGAGTATCCAAGCTCCTTTAACAATTGTATAGCGGTTTTTCTTCCAGAATGATTCAAGATATTGCGGGTTCTAATTTGAATACCCGTAGTTTCACATATAACCCTAAAGTATTCTCTTAAATTTCGTTCGCCCAGAGCACGAGCATAATACTATTTGCTACTAAATTCTACTAATAAATAAAAAAAAATTAATAAAGAGACACTTAAATACAAGAAAAAAAACAATATTTACCCGAATCTGAACTCATTGGCTTCAGATAAAAGTTCGTCATGGTTGCCATCAGACGTTTGGTGAAATAAAGCTCATAATCATCAACGATGCTTTTAATGTTGGGCAAGCTGATAACCTCAGCCTGTGCATCGTAGTCCTCCAATCCTCATTGATTGGTTTTTGATCTATACAATTTGATATCAATTCCGCTATCAAACCTTTTAATGAAACTGTTAATTTGTAATGTATAATGTTCACCCCACGTAACGCCAACAGCGTTGTATTATAAAAAAAAATTCTTCATAACAAGCCTTCCGGCGAATTACGTTGCATCGTGGGGTGGTCCAAGACTTGTTCAACCTCATTCATTGTAAGTCCATCGGCTCCAACACATTTACCTAAATCTCTTGCAGAAAGATCCTTTAACTTTCCATTGATTACTTGGTTGAGATCAAAGTATACTTTTGGATTAAGTATATCAATAGGCTTTTCCATTACTGAATGTGCATTGAGATGCCTCCAGATTGCTGCCATACAACTTCTTATGAGGTTACACGATATTCTTCCCCATCCTTTCGTTTCATTGTGCAAACAAATTTAGCTAGCTGATCCTCAAGGATCATTTTCGTATCGACTTCTTCGATCTTTCCTTCATAACTAACATCAGAGCAAAACTCTTCTAGGGCCCTGATCCACATTTCAGTTGTCTTGTGAGTTGCTTTAACTTTAGCATTATCCTAAACTTCTTTAAGGTCGTTCGCAGAAGGCTCTATGTATTTAACTCGCTAATAGAAAACTGTATTAATACATTTTTATTTGTGTAAAAAAAAAAAACAAAAAAAAATATTATCCTACCTTTGCCTTGCTGACTTTCTTTTTTGCTAATTTTGTTTTTGGCATTGACTTCAGGTGGGTTTTATAAATTCCAAGTGGCTTGCGGCTTTAGCTTTGATTTTCAGCTTCAGATGGGCGTTTCGCTTCAAATGAGCTTTACTGTTATTAATTTAAGTAGCTTTTATGGCTTTAAAAGGCTTCACAGGTTTTATAAACTTTACAGGTTAATTATACTCTTAAAATTGAAATACCTTCTTATAATCACAACTAGCGGCTTTCAATTAAACTTCCAACACAATCAATGACAAGACCTTCCACTTCCACCAACTATACTTCCAACTACTACCACATGAATTCTAACTTTCACACAAGACTTAAAAGAATGTCAAAGTATTTTTTTCGCTTTGGAAAAAAATTGATTTAAATACTGATCTGCAATCTATTTTCAGATCTAAAATTATTTATAGAGGGAGAATTTTCGGGCGCCATGATCATATGAGTTTGTCGGATAAGTATACATTATTGGGCAAAAATTTGTGAATAACGGTAATTTGGCTCAACTGGGCAAATGATATCACTAAGCGGCATAGTGAAAGATCTTTGCTCGTTAATTGTCTTGCTCACGTGACTTCGCCTACGATTGTTTTCCGGTTGATTCTCGACGGACTGAGGACTGCCGTGGTTTTTCAATTCTCTCAACATACCGTGGACAGTTGTAGTTATTGTGTCCAACACTCCCAACGTACTGTGGATTGTTGTGGTTGGTTTGTTCCGGTTTGAGCCCAAGAGGAAGGATCAAGCCATGGTTTTGATTGAAAGTATTGTAAAATCAATTAGATAAATGTTAGTGTATTTTCAAGGTCTCATTTGAGAATAAAAGAAGATAAACCTACGACCTAAATCACCCTCGTACAAATCTAAACGCATCTTCAACTGTGACACAACGCTCCGGATCATTTAGCGACTGACTCGTCGTATACTGGTAGCAATATATATATGGCATTTCATTTTAATGATAGTGATAATTAAATTCGTTTAATTCCAACTTTTGTAGCTAAAAAGAATATTACCGTAAATTCTCAAAATAGCGGGCAGGGGCATTATTTCAAAAATCGCGCCCCCTAAAAATAGCATGGGTGGTTTCGAAATAACGCCCATGCGCGTCCCAAAATAGCGCGCACCTCGAAGAGAAAGTATCATGTAAATATTGGAATACAATACTCCCGATATATACCTGATTTTAGCATGTCGGTAGCATATCAGAAATCTTTTATCCGATATTTACCTGATACTTATTAATTCGACCTGTTTATAACATTCCAGAATTAATACTTTATCTCGAAATAACGGCCATGGGTGTATTCAAAATAGCGCGCAGATGCCCGCTATTTCGAGAATTTAAGGTAAATCAATCTTTTGTAGTTCCAAATTTGTAGCACTGTAATTATAATCTATTAATTGGATTGTGAAATAAAGGTTTTAAGACGTTTTGAAGTGACTTTTTTTCTAAAAATCTATTAACTAATTATTTCATTAAAAGCATGTCTTGAGATAAAATAATATTCTCGAGTTGAAATTTTAACTTAAAAACTTTCACGAAATACAGTATATACATATGATTTATGATTATTAATATTCGGTTATTTAAATAATATTTTTAAGATCTGGATTCAAAATCCATTTAAATGGATTCAGAATCCGCAAAATCATGAATTCGGATTAATCAATCGGTATATTTTCGAGTTGTTCAATTTGAATGTAATATAAGTCTATTAACATTTAATCATAAAAACAACTTTTAAATATTAGAGAAGACAACAATGTGAAGAAGGTTAACGTGTCACATTTTAAAATACAAAAAATAGGCAGTATATACAGTACAACATTGATAGCCTAATTAATTGGCATGAAAACTTTTAGGGCTTTTTACTAATCTGGAATACTTCATATTCTTCTACTGAAAAATATGAAGGTCCATAACTATTAAATGTAAATGTATTTCTAATTCGTTTTTCATATGATATTTGATAATGCCCACACCCGTTATCTTGATCACAATTATTCGACAAAAGTAAATCTACCAAAAACTGGTCCATAACCACAAAAATAAAAAACTGCATAATCTGGCTCTTTTACACGACTTAATATAGAATTTTGAATGGTACCATTTTTCAATGAAAAAATAAAGCTATCATTACAATTTTTAAAATCTTGAACTGATTTATCCCAACCGATAGGATTATAACCACCAAGAATTTTATCAGTACCTTTAACTTTCATAACTACAACAAGGTGTGTTTGCTTATCACATAATTCCCAAAATGAACCCTTAGTAAAACCATCCCTAGTTCCACGTAGAAGTAATTTAAACTCGTATGGAATATTTGTCACTGAATAAATATCAGCTTTTTTTATCAACCCATGAAGCAATTTCTGCTGTATGTGCTTCATTGATAACTGTTGAAAATGGTTCGGTAATTCTACTTGGTAACGTAGATGCCAAAATTATACGTGGCGGAAGAACTTTTGATGATATTTGTCGGTTTGGTGACATAAACTTTTTTGTTATATCTTATCAATAATGTCATCACTAGACGTAAACAATTTTGTAAAGTAGTCTTCAAAAGTTATAAAATTTTCATTGGACCAGTCTTCAGGATCAAATGGTAGGTCAGAATTTTGAGTAATTCCCCATTTAATAACATGATTCCAAATTTTTACTTCTTCCATTTGTAAATCGTCTCGACTGATAAGTGAGACTA